TATCTATAATTATATAATAATTTTTATACAGTGTTCACCTGAAACATGAAGACTAATTCATGGGTTCCACAAGAGTAAAAAGGTTTATTTATCATACTTATTATAAAACCCACGTTGTGTGTGTGTACGTTTATATATTGGATCGAATTTCCTACATTTTCCAACCGATTTCAACAAAACTTCACAGAACTACGTAAAATTACCTTGCGGGGGTTCTGATAGCGCCAAAAATTGGAAAATACAATTGTTTTTGCACGAAATCAATTTGAAAACACGATTAAGAGGCATCGCAAGAATGAACGGGGGACAACTCATATCGAGTTATACTTATTATACTACCCAGGTTGTTTGTGTGTGTGTGTGTGTGTGTGTGTTCGTTTGTATATGGGATCAGATTTCCTACATTTTTCAACCGATTTCAACAAAACTTCACTTTTTTTGGCAGGTAGTGTTTCTTATTGTCTTGCACACTTTTTTCTTTATTTTTACTTTCAGAATGCTTTAAAAATTCCATTTATAAGACAATTGTTTATAATAAAATTCTATTCAATCGGTAGACTCATAACGATTGAAAACAATGTTTTTGTTTGAGTTTGACCAATTCGTAAAAAAAACCCACAAAAAACTAATTAAGACATGCGTGTCCGTCAACCTTAAACAATAATCTTTGTCAATTTTATTTTTCAGCCTTTATGATGGTAGATACTTGATTTATCTCTTACTGTTACATTCCTTCCCGGGCAACGCCGGGCTCTACTGCTAGTTTATTCTAAAAAAACACCTCCAAGCAAAGCGATTATGTCGCTAGAACGCAGGGGTTTGCAGGGGGGTGAAAGTGAAAGAGAATGAGAGGACTGAGAGGGGAGAATTGAAGAAAGGGCAAAAACTGAACTGTATTCAAGAAGGCAGAAGATGGCGATTGATGTTGAAACGCTGTCTAATCCGTTGCGTTGCTAAATATTGCACCATAGCGAGGTTTAGGAGAAGGCTTCCGCTAACAGTTGCTACTTTTGCCCAACCAGTGAGGATCAAGCCAATAATAACCACTTATTGAAAGACTAACGTGCACCACAATCAGGTAAAATAATTTGTCACAAAGCACTGAGTGACCGAGTTATTGAACTACATAATATTAGTTATGAGAAGAGGTTTAAAAATAAAGTTTAACAATATTAGAAAGTCGAAGAGACCGGGGAGAAGTGATAGAAATATGCAATCGTGATATGTGTCTGTTTAACGATATAGTGTTGCCTTAGAAGACATGAACATAATGTTGAATTAAACAGAGGCAGGGTAAATATAAAATATTTCTTTATTAATAAGAATTGTTGGTCGAAGGAATTGTTTGACATGACGGAATGCTGAAATGTTCTCGGCTCGGCCCACTTCCCAAATAAGGAAGAAATTATGCCAATAAATAATTTGGTAAAGACAGTAATTTCTTCAAGCTAAAGATCTAAAATAAATTATGTATCAAGATATGTTGGTGGTCAAAAAGTTCTTGGCTCAAACAATTTGCCGAAATATGATTACATAGGAAAACGTTAGCATCATTGGTCACTGTGACGTTTGGTAATGCTTAGCTATCTTTTCTCGTAAGAACAATTTTGCCAGAGTAGTGCCTTAAGTTACAGTTAGAAAATGACCATTAGCAAAAATATAAGCACTTTATAATTTTTTCTTGAAACTGGAAATTTCATGGTGAATCTTTAAATAAAGTAAAAACTATATATTATATTTGTCAACACCTTTTAGAAAGTTACTTATCTTTACTTTCGCCATTTTTTTCTATATGACGTGTCACGTCATGACGTTGATGGTCATGGCTCTCCACAATTTCCTCTCTTTTATAGCTCTTATATTTGCTAACACCTTTGATAAAGTTACTTATTTTTACTTTCGCCATTTTTCTTCCATGTAAGGTGTCCCCTCATAACTTTGACGATCATGGCTCTCCACGATTTCTTGTCTTTTTAGTTCTTATATTTTCCAACACTTTTTAGAATGTTATTTATCTTTACTGTCGTCTTTTTTAATGCCTGAAATTGCTCGGCTGTAGTTTTGTGAAAAGGTTAGCTTGACCTGAATTTCAAAGACAGAAGAATGTATATTCATAAATTACTCGGTAAGCTTGTAACTGAATCAATTTCATCAATCAAGAGTATATGTCTATATTTCTGAGATGAGGTATTATGTACACTATTTACATTATTCGGACTATTGTTCATCTTTGTTGCCTTATTTATCACAACGTTTTGGCCGCTGTACGCTCCGGCCTTCTTCAGGGGGTTGGAATGTCGAACTGAACCCTTTATTTCTCTCGCTGGGTTAGATTGCTCTTGTTCAATGTACCACGTCTAATGGATGTCCGTTATCAGTAATCTCCTGTTAATTCACCTCTCCAAGTTCTCCACTGCCTTAACCAGGTATTGAACTCACAACTCTTTGAGTCCTGTCACTAGATCTAACCAACGCCTTTATTCACTGTGTCATGTGTCTCCCCCAGCGAGCGAAATAAAGGGTTCAGTTCGACATTCCAACCACCTGAAGAAGGCCGGAGCGTACAACATCGGAAATTTTGTGATAAATATGGCAACAGAGATGTGGACAATAGTCCGAATAATTATAAGTAGTATCAATCAAGAGGTTTAAAATTATCAAGACATGAAGTTGTGCTGAAAAGTTCTTGGCCTAACCAACTTTCCAAAATCAGAGAAAATAGCAAAAGATTTTCAAGGAATTAATGGATTTATTTTTTAATCTGGCATTTTTTTTACTTCAAATGTTATCTTAATTCCTGTTCTTTTGGGGTTGTTATATTTGCAAACACCTTCTAGAAATTTACTTATCTTTACTGTGGTCTTTTTTTTTTTTTTTAATGCCTGAAATTGCTCAACAAAGCTGATCTTCGACTGTAGTGCTGTGAAAAAGTTAGCTTGACCTGAATTTCAAAGACAGAAGAATGTATATTCATAAATTACTCGGTAAGCTTGTAATTGAATCAATTTCATCAATCAAGCAGTTTAAAATAAACTATCAAGACATGAGATGATGCTGAAAAGTTCTTGGCCTAACCAACTTTCCAAAATTAGACCAAATAGTAAAACATGAGAACTTTTCTCTTTGAATCCTTTTCTGGTTCAGGATGAGAACTTTTCAGCACTGCCTTGTAAAAACTGATCCCTAAAAAGATATATTCAGAAGATGCTTATATTGTTAGATTTGAATTGTCAATCAAATAGCATTTTGTTATTATCAATTCTCTCCAATGGTTGTACTTATCTGAAAGATGATGTTACTCTTTTATAGTTATGGAAGGAAATAAAAAAAAGAAGGATTTATGACCACTGGAATTGATGCACACGTTTCCTCTTTTCTTTGTTGAGTCTTCTTCTTTTTATAATTTGCAATTTCTTTTTTTTTTACTGTGAGATGCAAGACGAAAAATATGAACCATATGGTTAGCAGCTGTTAAACTTTCTACAGTTAATGATGATCTCAGAGTTGATGAAACAGATTTTCTTTTTAAGAGCACAGTAATCTCACGCACACACACCATAAACAAAAACATAAAACAAGCACATGAAGGGGTGGTGAAAAGCTCTCAGCCCAACCTAATTCTTTAAATGAACGAACAACACTTTTTAAGTCCCTTTATAACCAGGCCGAGAACATTTCAGTAACTCTCGCGTAAACTTATATATATATAATTTTCTGCTAATGACATCTCATCCAAATCTCTTCTCTAATATTCTCCAATTGGAAGTGAGTTTTAAATAGCACGAAGGTAAAGTTTAAATTGGTATTTTAATTTAGATTGAAATATACTACCCCATTATTGATGATAAAATTATTTAAATGGGAATAACCGTTGATAATTAGGTACATAAAAACAATCACGAGTTTACTTAATGAACAAAAATCAAAAACAATCACGAGTTTACTTAATGAACAAAAATCAAACGAATAGATGTCAACCTAACAAGCAATAAGATAAAAGTTTTAGTAGAATAAAAAAGATTACTAAATATAAAATGGATTACTCTTTCAATGTACTGTCTATGAATTTTTCCAATCGACTGTTTCATAGAAAATACCCAAAACTCCACCAAATTTCAAATTAATTTCTTCAGACATTTAGATATTTATCAAACCTTAACCTCCCAGATATGCACGTTAAAGTAACGCGAATTAACAGCGTCTAAGAATTTGAATGAAACCTGTCGTGTAATTGATTGGGGTTGTTGTAGCTTCTTCCTTTAATGTCGGTCTTATATCTAGAGACGAGACGCGTTAAATTTGAGCAACATCTAGCCGACACACTGGGGTTAAAAATAGGAAATTGAAATGATACATATGACACACTCATATCCTCTCTCCCACCTCACTTCCTCACTTCGTTAATTTTACGTATACTTGATGAGGTCCGTCAAAAACGTGTGAATTTCTTTTCATTTTTCATTTCAGCTTTTGGAAGTAAAGTCTGATGATCCAGAACCCTGTTAAAGGGGTTATGGTGAAATAGCTTGTTACATGGAATCATGGAAACGTGGTCTGTTTTTATTCAAACATATATATATATATATATATATATATATATATATATATATATATATATAAAAGGCTATAAACACTAATATTCCATGGTATTCCAATATATTTCCATTGGAATCGTAAATACGATGCAATTCATCAGACCTACAAATTCAAAAGGAAAACAGAAAAAACAACTCCGGAAATAAAAACAGAATTTAGAGAGAGTGTAAGTATGAGGAGGAGGGAGATCAAACCTTAACAGGGAGAATTTTAGGAGAGGTGGGTGGAAGGGGTTTAAGTAAGAGAAAAATGAATGTTGTCGGATGTCTAATGCATAAAGATACATTTCGTGGTGACATACACACACCACTTACTCTGTCCTGGACATTGAGTTCTACCTGGATTCTTCCTCTTGAAATTTTTATTCAAAAATATACAGGTATGGGTATTTATATATTTTGCATATGTATGTATATTTACCACTAATATTATCTATCTATCTATCTATCTATCTATCTATCTATCTATCTATCTATCTATGTAGGTAACTATACTCGTTTCGAAAAACCTTCGAATTTTTGATTTGTCAATAATCAAATCAATCTCGAAGGAAAAAAAAGAAAGAGCTACAAACATGAACTTCTGCCGACAAAAAAATCGCACAGATGCAGGTTTGAAGCCCAAATAAAAAACCCCGATACGAGTAAACAACTAACTAACAAAAGAGCTCAATACAACCGTAGAGCAGACCTAGATAAACCTAGTGAGCCAGCTTTCCCTGACAATCCGCTTAGGTGAAACCTGGGTAGATTTGTCTGGCTCACTAGGTTTCTATCTATCTATCTATCTATCTATCTATCTATCTATCTATCTATCTATCTATATATATATATATATATATATATATATATATATATATATATATATATATATATATATATATGTATATAAACAAGTTTGATTAATATAAACAAGTTTGATTAAAAGTTTTGTCTGTTTAATGTTTATTGTATTTTCCAATTTGCCAAAATATAAAAATAAACAGAGAGACCTTGATGGCTCTTTTAATCAAACTTGTTTATATATATATATATATATATATATATATATATATATATATATATATATATATATATATATATTATATATTGTGTATTTAGACAGCAAGCTCTCTTTTATACATGTTTCATTAAAGACGACAGACAAGGTACTGCGATTAAGCTATTTATTTAATTTTTTTTTTGTTTTTTGGTTACAGCATGTGTAGAAACTGTCCAAATCTACTGTAATTCCGAGCACTTTCGCTTGCTTTTAACCATTATCAAGGATGATTTTATTTTTACTTTTTAACTGGATGTATGCCAAATGCACGCCAATTACAAACAAGATGAATCTTCACTTAGAAATATCATAAAGAAATACACTACACCAGTTGACCTGAAATAATAATAAAATTTATTATCTATTACAAAAATTTTAAAACCGGTAACATTAACCTAAACAATGACAACGCTCCTGCAAAAGCAAAACTATGAAGAACGAATATTATTTACGAGTTCAAATGTTCCTTAAGGAACTGTGTTCCTGATCAAACCGAACTCATAAATAATTACATCAGTAACACTATTACATGCCTATTCAGACGACTTACGTTACACCTATCTGACCCAGCTCCATGAAAACACTTTAAACACACATAAACCTGTCAGACTCCATCTGAAACATTCTAGTAGAAAGTACAAACATAATAACATCCGCATGTAATAAAAAATATTAAAAATAATGGGTACCTTAATAATTAAAAAAAAGCCAACATTCAATAATATTAACTATGGCCACAGCCACAATGGGCTGACCGTGATCGGAAAATAAAACATTCCTATAATTCTAGATAGAAGCACACAACCCATATTTTTAGTTAAAAAAATAAAATCATCCCACCATTTTGAATACACCTCCTCTTTTTTTTCTTTCCGCCTTCCCCCAATTTTGAATTTACATAGAGATTAAGCAGTGGCAGGTGATTGGATTGGTCGCCATATCCGCTATCAGTTTTGTGATACGAACGTTTTCTCTTCACGAAAAGAATTTGCGCGACAGAGTTGTTCTGACGATTGAAGCGTTGGTTAGTAATATGTTGCCATAAGTATAATAGTATTATATTGGAATAACGTGTCGAACATAGATCATAGAATTTGAACATAGATCATAGAATTTGAACATAGATCATAGAATTTGAACATAGATCGCCAGTAAGCAAATAGGCGATCCCATTATTAAATTAAGTGGATGACACGACCATAGAGGAAACGCATATATAGAAAGTCGCGTGACGTCTAATTGGTCTGCATTTCTAGTCTATCCTCTATTACTATTCGGATCCTTATTTCTGTTCTATCATCTATTACTATACGGACCGCTATTCTTTACTCTATGCACTATACTATTTCTCTATTCAAATCACTACACTGTGGTTACTTTTCTTTGATATCGGACAAGTACTTTTAGTGTGAGTGATATTTGAAGTTGTCTGACACCAGCATTTGTTCAACAGCGGTATTATAGTTTTATCGGCGATTACAAAGTCTCTACTAAAACAAGTGTCACCGAGTGTTCGATGATATAAAAAAAAATGGCAACGAGTCTTCATTGATATCACAAAAGGGGCAACGAGTGGTAACGAGTGTTCGTTGACATCACAAAAAATAGTTTTATATATAATTTACCAGGTAGAAGTAGTGATTCTTGGGCATGTTAGCCTGAGAGCCCAAACTTTTCCAAGCCGAATTGAATTCAGAGTTTCCTTCTCCTAGACCGGTTGTCAACCAAGGCTATAGAACCCAGTCTGTTCTGCTATTTATTCATATCTTTCCCAAGATAATGTGACGTGTCACGTAATTGATCCAAACTGGAATTCAAATTCGGCTCTTCGATTCCTTAATCAGAGCCGCTATCTATTACTCCACCGTGCCTTCTGATAGAGAGCATATTTCTAGGGTTACCGCCAGCCGATTCGTGTAAACCTTATAGAGAATACTACTAGGGTTATTCGAACCGAGAGGCACCAGAAGATGGTAGAAGACAGCTAAAACGATGTTATAAGATGAAGGGAGATAATGACAGGTGATAACTCCTAATCTCAGAAAATTATATTAAACGGGAATGCAGGGGGTTTCATAAAATAAATTCTCATTACGTTCAGTGCTGCCTCCCTTTCCAGAAACATACACATTAATCACCTCTAAACGTTCCCCAATTCCACCCCTCCAAATGCCCTCTCACCGCCATTTTATAATTGGTAGAAAATCTAGTGCCTGTTGATTCTTTTTTCATGGACGAAGTTTTAACCAATTGTTCCACAGCGATTTGTTAAATATAAATTTCGAGTTCAAGTTTTATTTTTTTTTAATTACGTACATATATTTTGGTCGTATAGGTCACAATAATGGGGTAATGGTTAATGAACAACCCTAATCCCTTAATCGTTAACATCAGACAATATATATATATATATATATATATATATATATATATATATATATTGTGATATATATATATATATATAATAAAAAGGCTTAAACACTAATATTCCATGGTCATAATTTATTCCACTGGAATCGTAAATACGATCCAATTCATCAGACGTACAAATTCAAAAAGAAAACAGAAAAAACAACTCCTGAAATAAAAACAGAATTTAGAGAGAGTGTAAGTATGAGGAGGAGGGAGATTAAACCTTAACAGAGAAAATTTTATATATATATATATATATATATATATATATATATATATATATATATAGTTAAGTTACGAAAACTTGGTAATCCGTAAGGAGGATGAAATCCTGAGAGCTCAATGTAAATTCAGAGATAATATTTTAAAGAAAAACAGACCATGACAATGGAGCCTTAAAGTGGTCTGTTTTTCTTTAATATATATATATATATATAAACTACATAACGGTCATCCAACGTCGATGAGCTTCCTTACCCCACGCCTCCATAAAAGATAATATTTTTTTGTTTGTTTATCAATTTGTTTTCCATATTTTCCCGCTAGTCGGGGTTCTTAAATGCGAACGCAAGCAGTCCGGCGAATGAATAATGGCGGTTCTCCGACAGAAGAGCATTATGGGACGTTAGGGAATTCCCCGTTATTGTCCTGTATCTGTTAGTCATATCGATGGGGTCGGCAGTGTGTGTCAGAGTAAAGTCGGTAATGGCGGAAATGTGCTGGGGCAATAGGTTATATGAGCTTAGGCAGAACAGCCATTTCATCACCGAGAACTTCCTTATCCCCAAATATATAAATTCATTATATCATACAAGCAAGGCTACAAGGCGGAGCCCAGGATTTTGTAAAATAAATATAAAACCAAAGTAAGGAAGAAATACGAAGTTGTTTTTAAAAACGAATTAACAATCCTGATTAAAAATCTACTGACAGAAACATTTATGTCTTTTGTTTCAACAAATTTGAAATCATTACGAAAAAAAAAAAAACAAACAAACAAACAAAAAAACGAGCAGAAATTATCAAATTCTGTAAGTGTAGAGATTTATTTAATATTAAGTGTATTTTATAAAAAAAATAAACAAATGCATTTGCTGTTTTATGCAGTACAATTTACTATTATCGTAAATGTTAAAGCTTAACTTTAAACACTATTTTTAGGGGATATTCGTATTTGAGTAGACGTTCCGTTCATTTATTAAACAGTATATTCATTTATTTTCACCTACCGACCTTAAAGCTCGAGAAATCTTATTAAAGAACAATTTGTGCTCTCTAACAAGAATCAAATCTCACTTCCTCAGGACAGAAGCCACCGTTTGGCCCGATGTGCCTTACTGACTTGGCCAGGAAGGCGAAGTCAATGTTCGTGCTTCAAGCGAATTATTTCTTGAAATTTTTCATATCTGCACGCAGTTTCGAATCCAAACAAAGAGAATTTAAGAATGGATCTTTCTTTAATAAGATTTCTCGAACTTTCAGGATGGAAAATGAAAATAAATAAGTATACGGTTTAATAAATAAACGGAGCGTCTACTCAAATACGGGTATCCACAGAAATAACGCTTAAAGTGATTAAAAAGATCTGTAGGATTAATAAAAATCAATTCTATATAAATATATATATATATATAATTTAAGCGTTGGAAAATTATTCTTCAGCAATGACTTTTTAATCCATATTATGGCTACTAACCAGTGCCGATACGCCACAGGATTTATGTTTAACTTTTTGTAACTGTTGTATTAGACGACTCTCATATGTTGGGGTGGGAATTTTTAAGATTTAAAAGTGGCCTTATACGCGGAAATATATGAAAATTAGTTTGATAAATTCGTTTTCTACGACTTATCAACCCTTTGAGGGTATTTAAAGCCAGGAAATATTTTTAGATGGTAATAATTTGGGAGGTGAGGGAGATAACATTGTTTAGTGATAGAAGTTTTAATAATTAACCCATAGCAGGGGAAAGTACAGGTGGATCCATATCTTTCCCAAGGGGATTTGCGCGTGAGTGAATATAACGAACCCAACTGGAATTGAAACTCGACTCTCCGATTAACAATTCATTATTACGCCACCCGCACATCCAGGCTTAGAACATCTGGTATCCCCAAGCGGCCACCTATCTAGGTATTAGTCAGGCTCAACATTGCTTAACTGCGGTGATGTGACCGTAAGCCTAAAACATAATTAGTATTGTGGAAAAAAGTATTGATTATACAACTTAAAAAATTAAGAATAAATAAAAAAATAAAAAAATAAGATCTAAAAAAGTTCATTGTCATTGCATATATATATAATATATATATATATATATATATAGGTGGGGAAAATCTGTGCAACGCGTTTCGACCTCTAGAAAAAGTTCCTCCGACTAAGGTAATGTTACGGTTTTTGGGTATATACTACGTATAACTACTTATTTATTCTTGTAATACAAGGCCGAAAGGGGAGGGAGAGGGCTGGTCCGTAATCTTATATAGCTAAATTCACGACCCATTCATAATTACATTTACTCATTCACCACAAGAACTTGTCCATCAAAAACCTTCATGCACCATAATTAAAAATTATACATAAAATGCTATACAAAAATTATAATAATGATAAATGAGAGGGAAGGGAGATGAACCCAATAATAACTAAAATAAACACAACATTCAAAATAAACATAACAATAAGATATTATGAATCAAGAAGCTCCTCGCTAAGGGAGGGGAAAAGGATAAAATATTATGCCGGAATGGGAGAATAAACCTGACCCAGTCAAGATAAAAAGAGGACCAAAACAAACTGGGGGAGGTTGGGGAATCTCGACGGACGAGCAGCCGGGATACAGGCCAGGAACAACATTATCACATTAACTAGGTACACAAAAACTTGTCTATAACCAAGGGAGGGTTCCGAAAAAATAGGTTGACCTAAAAAAGAAAATCAAGGCTAGCCCCGGTCACACGAACCAGGCTTGCTAACCACCTTTCGCTGAAGACTCGAATGCACCGTTTTCGATCTAATCTTCAAATGCTCAAAGAATCGGATTAGATGCTGATAAGAAAGACGGTTTTCCTCCATTCGCGTCGTCCAAATCACCATTCGAGCCGTGGCCATCAGCATCAGAAACACCATTCGTTTCTTGCCGGAATACAGGGGGCGACACATTGTCACACGCGTATGCGCGATCCATGGACACTAGCTATCAGCTCGCCGACATATAAGGGGCAGGACCCGGGGGCAATGGAAGAAGGCGTGAAAACCAAGACCACCGTTCACAGTCTGGCAAATCCGCCTAACAAAAAATTGTCATATTCCGAGCCAATCGCCAGGTAAGCGAAAACTCAGGGTTACTGAGGTAATCCGCCGCTGGCATTTCCAGACCATAAAGGCGATACTCCTCCTCCGACCATCCGAGCGTTCACAACCTTCGTCCACTAAACCACGAAGGACCTTCCTAGGCCGTGAAAGGTCCTGGACCGGGAATGGCCCTCAATCGTGGATGAAATCCGACTCTTCCCGGAGCCTACAACGGCGCTCGGCCCTCGAATGGGGGGACTGATAGTAAGGCTAGGAAGGATCCCCTCCAGAATCGGACCCCTACATCGCGGCGTAGG